CCTGTCTACAAAGAATATTTGCAACATATTGCATGGAAGCTTGGTGGTGTTGCAGGGGAATAAGACATGGTGGGCGGGCAAGAATGGATGCAGAATGATCTGTCTTTGATATACAATATTTGATCTCAAATCCATTCTTCACTCTCCTCTGACTGCTGTGTATAATCTTCTCTGGGGCTGTGGGAAGGAGGTGTGATTTCTGTGGTGACATCACAGAAATCACAGGTTGTGTAATGAATGCTGGTTTCTGGTTTGTTTGTTTTGTTTTGTTTTGTTTTGTTTCTGATTTAACTAATGGGAAATACTAATGGAGACTGGAAAATGAGAAGAACTGAGGATCCTGTGCATATCTCACTTTCTCTTTCTGCCTTGAGCAGCATCTCTGGCAACATCTGCATCGTTTCTGCTGGTGTAGCTGCTGCCACAGTTGGGCCTTCTTCTGGGTGACCTTAAATCCTGAGCTTTCTATCTAAACCTCCTCTTTTCATTATTCTATACTCTGTTTGGCTTCTCAGTTCTCTCATTATCCGTGTAACCAATATCCTTCATCCAGTTTCCTCTGTTTAAAGCTTTTTCAATGCTTTCTGTTTTTATGCTTGGATCCTTAAACTGACACATTATGAGCTTTAAAAATGTTTGTTGAATGAATATATTTGCTATTTGAGGAACTAGAAAATTTCTGGGGCTATTACAAACAAAAGAATACAGGAGGTGGAGATATTTGAACGAAAAAGGTGATTTTAGACAAGGAAATTTTGGGAAAATATAATGGCAATTAATCATTGGCTAAAGTAAGGAAAGAGGCTTGGGACTAGGAGTACAAATCTTGAGATCTGTTTCCCTAGAAATGAGTCCTGAGATAGAAGCAATCACAATAGAAAAAAGGAACTAGCAAGAATGTGTAAAAGATGAAAGAAAAGAAAAGGTCATGGAGAAAAACAAAAGATGCCATAGAAACATTCTATTAAGGAACCAATAAATGATTAGAAAGTTTAGTCATAAAGTTACAGAAAGGATCTGGTTAGTGGTAAGGGGGCAACATCATGGAAACCAGGTAAGAGAAATTAAAAAGGAAAAAACAGCTAAATGTTAAGTAATACAAGGTAGTTAAGAAAAACAAAGACTAGAAAGGTTGATTGAATTTGGTGATTAGGAGTTCACTGATGATATTGGAAGTTTAGTTCCATTAGCAGTGTGATGATTGACAAATAGTTATATAGGTGAAGAAAATTTTGCGATTAAAGTATACAGATAATTTGATTATAGAAATTTCCTCAGAAATAAAAGACAGAGTTAGAACAGTAGCTAGAAGGGATAAGATTAAGTGTCTTTTAATTTTTTTTTTTTGCAAGGAATGCAAAATCTAAATAGATTTGTAGATGAAGGAAAACATGCCAATGGATATTGATCGAATGGTAATGAAGAAACAATAGAGGATAAATGATAGAATAAAATGTTGGGGGAAGTGAACAAAAGCAGTGTAAGAACACAGGAGAGTAGATAGACTAAAGAAAATGGAAAATGCTTATTTTGACATGGAAAGTGACAGATACTTATAGAGAAACAGATTTAGAGGTAGAGAGTAGGGAAGTTTACGAACAATGTGATATTCTGGATCTTATCTGTTGATGCTGAGGAAATCTGGATGTTGCTAAACATTCTCGAGAGCCTGGTTGAGGTTAGAGACAAGAAACTTATGAACCAAGGGTATCATCAGAGCAAGTGATTGGTGGTCAAGGTTAAGGGAATACTAGTGAAGAAGGGTAGGTTTGAGAAGTAGTGAAATATTGTGCGAAGTCCATAGCACTTGGTTACCAACCAATTATATGAAGATAGACTCCAAATTTATTGTCACTGTTAGAAATAAGCACCACGTTTATTGCCACTGATAGAAAAATCAGTGTTTCTGCTGATGGGGGAGCAAGTTAAATAATAAGCTTGTTGTATGACATCTTAAGTTTGAATTCAAAATGTCAAGCATGCAATTGGAAACGTTGGACTAAATCTCAGAAAAGCAGAGGTAAATTTAAAGTCAATAGGAAAAAGTTGATAGTGAAGCTAAGAAAGTGAGAACTCTGAGGTATACAATGTAGAATAAGAAAGTGAAGATGCCAAGGACTCAATGTATAATCACATCTGGGGATAAGTGAGGAAATGAAATCAGAGAATATGCAGATATGAAAAATTAAAAACCCTTTTTCAAGCAGAAAGTAGCAGTGCTTTCTAAGTGAAATTCCCCTAATTCAAATGTTTCACAAGTGAAGCTATTGGTTTTGTCCATATCCTGAACATTTGCATCCTTAAAAGACATCTTGCAGAACACTCTGAATGGCCCTAATGTTTTTCCACATTTAAGAAGATGAACCCATTCACAGAGAAGCACACTAACTGAAAGACAAATTTCTGCAAATGGTTGGTAATAGGCACATTCATGGGTGACAAAGCACATTGAAAATTCTTAGAGCTGCATATGTCAGAACTGAATCAATGTCTGAGGATGGTAGGGGGGTGAGAACATAGAGCTGATTGTCAGAGTCTTCAAATTCTTTCTTGAAAATGATAAAGATGACTTTGCTAAATCCTTTTAAGTAGATTGCTGCACTGTCATGGTCTCCCAGGAATTCACTGTGGTTTATGACTACACTACGGTGGCTACGTCTTTTGAAAGATATCTGATATACATACTATATGAGACATGATATTTTTCCATTCATCTAGGATACTGTTAATAGTCATCTCCCTTCCCCAGTGAAGCTAAATCAAATTGCTTAGATCAGGGACCAATTATGGGAGTGGAGGGAGAAGTGGGAGTTAGATCAATATCAGGTAAGATAACCTGTGAAATTCACATGCTCTGGGATCTCTCTCCCTTCCTCACTACATCCCTACATAAATACAACCAACTTAAATTTCCTTTAGAATAATTCTTTGTACTTGCTAAAAAGAATGTATACATTTATAATGAATCAAACTTCCTGCTTTGAGGAAAATTCCTGATCTGAAGACTTACAAGCATCTAAATATTTCTGCGATAGCCATCTAGCAATTCCTGTGAGTTTATAGGTATTGTCTTGATTTCAAAATGAAATCTTAGGCACATGAAATGATTCTAACTTCTTAGATAGGGCTTACATCTGCCCTCTCCTCTCCATTATTTCCAACATGTGTGGCTCAAATAACCTCCATGTCTAGCCTTTTTATGAAACTTATGTCTTAACTCTCTCTTTACCTTTAATCTCATTCATGCAAAATCATTTTTCATATTGCTATCAAAATAAAGTTTTAAAAACACAAATTGTAGTGTTATTCATTCATTTACTAAAAAAAAAGATTAGTTGAGCACCAACTACTTATCAGACACTGTATTACATGCCAGAAATACAATAACGATAAAAGCGAATCCAGTGAGAAAGACATACAAACAAGTAATCACACTGAAGAACATAAGAACCTGACCTACACAGGGATGTCAGGAAAGGTTATCCTGAAGTGGTCACAATGAAGGAGGGGAAGTAGAGAGGGGGGAGTAGATAAATTTAGACAGAAGAAACACATGTGCAATTGGGGCCAGGAAGGGGACACGTGACATGAATGAAGAGCTGAGAGAAGGCCAGAATTGCTGTGACCCAGAGAGGGAAGTGAGAAGAGTTGGAGAAGAAACAAGGGTGAAACTGTGTTGGTTCTTATGGGTTCTTTTTAAGGTCTTTAGTTTTCATCATAAGATTATTGCGTAGAAATGGGCTTTAAACTTGGTAAACTAGGGATTAGATTTTTATTTTTAATAGATCTGGTTTTGATGTTATTATCAGATTGGAGTAAAATGAATACATTTGGGGGACTGGAGAGTTTTTTGCCACCTTAGTTCAAATGAGAAATAATGACAACGTGAATTAGGGTGATGACAGTGGAAGAGAAGATAAAGTGATGGTTTGGAGAGACATTTTACTAGTAATTTGGTGACCAGATGAATATGGGAGAAAGGAGATTTAGTATCAAGGATGCTGCATATAATTCTGGTTTATGAGTCAGCACAGATGACGGTGACATTCACTGGAATGTGGAATACCAAGCGACAAGTAGTTTTGGAGGGAAACTAGATGTATTGAGTTCGAATGTGTTTGGTTTAAAGTGACTTTGAGATTTCCAGGTCTAACAGTGGTGAAAGGCTTCCCATTGCCCCAAGAGTTAAATCAAATCACTTAAAATTGGACTTATAAAATCTTTGTGACCTAAGCTCAGACCCATCTTCTGTCATACATATGCTCCATATTTCAACCACTCTGAATTAGTGGAAATTAGTTCCTGAATGCCCCAAGGTATTTCACAGCTTGATTGCTTTGCAAATACTATTACTTCTACTGGATAGATAATTATTTCTACTTTCTTCTAGAATGCCTAGTTAACTCTCATTTTTTAAAGACTCAGCTTAAATATTATCTTGTATGGAAAAATTCCTGTCCTAACCTTACATATATACATGTTTATGTGTCTTTATGTGTAAGTGTCTATGTGTACATACAGAAACATGCATGTATATATACATCTATATAGGTATATTATAAATACATATAATTATTTATGATTGTCAGTTTATTAATCTTTCCCTTTAGATTGTTAACTCTTTGAGATTGAGGACTGTAGGTACTTTGTTCATTTCTATAAATCCATTGTGTAGCAGTCAATAAATGAATTAAATGATAGAATAAATGAAAAAAAACCCACATTTTAATTATTTTTCTTCTGTTCAAAAAATATTTTTAAATAGACTACTTTTAGTTATTACAACCAGAGACTATAGCTAAAACTGAAAAATCAGAATCTTGTACCTCTGAAATATTTATATTAACTATAGATTGATGGTTCTCTCTCTCTCTTCCCTCTTTCTCTAAAATCAATAAAAACAAAAGAAAGCAAAAATTCTATTTTTTAGCCCATAATCACTCTGATCACCAGTGACAATTAAAAAGGAGTTTTTTTAAGTGAGCTCCAGAACTAGGATATTTTCAGAATTATTTATGTTTATTTTATGGCAATTTTGAACACCCCAAATATGTTTGATTTACTTTTGTTTGACTTTACAAAATGACAGCATCTTTAATCAGCTGGCATAGTTTAATTCTAATATGGTAGAGTGGCTTGTTTTAAGACATCTTTTCTCCTAAGTGTTCATTCATTCTCTTACTATTCACTTGGTTACTTGGCTGAAAAGTCACAATTATTGCCTGTGAGTTTCTGAGCTTAGTTTTGAAGGCAACAAGAACACTGTCAATGTTTCCCTCGCCTTGTTGGCATCTGTGTCTCTCCTGCCATCTGCTCATGTTTAGGTGTAGCGGTGTGCATATCTTTATTCATGGCCTCAAATCCCTGCTTGCTTTCTTACCCTGTAAATTACACTGGATTTTTGAGGAAATCTAAAACGGAGTCAACAATGACAAAACACCGAAGGCACCAAACATCTCCAGCTTCTTCTGTTCAGAGCCCAGTTGGCACCGTTTTTCAATACATTGCTTACCTGCCTTGATTTCCAAAATCTTGTCAGCTAAGAGGTTGTTGAAGATCTGGAGGTGGCAGTGGTGTTACAGAACACTGTTCTATGAAGATGGCAAAGAGTCAAAAAGGCTTTCTCAGGCTCCTTTTATCCAGAACATCTGAAGAAGCTATGCTCTGAGAAGTATGGGTCAAGCAAATGAGAATGTGTTTTCCCACAATGGTGCGCCATAGTCTGACCATGCCTCAGAGTACTTTTATGATCAGGGAGCCATTGGCAAAAAGAGAAAAAGAAAAAAGAAACGCCAAAAGCTTAATGGTCCATCTGGTATTTTCTTAGCTTAACATTATCTGCTATCATTAAATTGCCTCCTTCATTGTCTTTGTTCTAGTTTCCCTAAAAATAGTAATTTTTAGATAAGTCAGAGTTAAACCGATAAGAACAGATCTCTGCATCAGCCACCTGAAACCTATATAATTTTGTTAGCCAGAGGCATTCCAATAAATTCAATAAAAAGGAGAATAAAAAATAAATACATATATAAATAAGCCAGACTTGTTATTTTTATGGTCATCCATTCTTTCACTCTGAAATGTGACATTTATTCAATCATTGATCCTTCTTTGAAAAAAAAAATTGTACATTTTTACTTATAGAGAACCCAGCTCATAACATAACTGTGACTATAATTCTATATACTAAAAAGTATTGATGCACATTAATCACCTTAAATATTTTTTCTCATTAAAGAAAGGAATATAGCCTTGGGCTTTATCATCTTGGTTTTTAAAGAATATTGTTAGACATTGAATAACTTAAAAATTGTGTTTGCATCTATTTAAACTGTGTCCCAAACCAACAACATATAAAATTTACATAGTTAAAAACCAAAATAAGACAAATACCCTGGATATAAAGATTACATGAACCAAAAGGAAGATATTTGTAGTAGAAATGATAGTTTTTTGCTCCGATTCTTTTTTGAGGACAAAACACTTATTAATAAAAATATATTATTTAATTATCTAACAAATGATGAATTTTGAGCATCTGTTATATAGCAGGGTGGTAAATAAGACAGACATGATCTTCACTCACTTTTAATATAGGATCTATCAAAGTAGAAGGATATGGAACAAGAAATACATGTGATGACTAATTTGAAAATAGCAAGGATAATATCAGAAACTTACATTAAAGGTATTAACCCAATTTTTACTTGTAAAATTGTAGAATAACATGAAGATAGTTTTTTTGCATGTGGAAGTTTCTTTCATTGATGGAAGTACCTTGCATCAATGCTCCCCCCCCCGCCCCCCCACGTCTGTCTGATTTCAGTATGGAAAATAAAAATAATATCCCACTCAGACATGGCTAGCTTTAGTTGTTTTTGCTTCCTCCTCATTTGAAGGTACCCCTAAGATGTTAGGGATTGCTAGTGATACCATCTGCCAATGTCTCAAGGCCAGACTTTTTTGCTCAGAGTGGCCAATACGTAAGCTTTAAAAAGAAACTATCACATTGTCCTGACTTGGAGCCTCCTCTTCTTTATTTTTAAATTGACCATAAAGGGATTGGAGAACGAAGAAGTGTCTTCAGTGTGTTTTAGCCCTAGGAAGAGTTAGGATAGTTTTCTTCTTACAAAAGACTAATGATGAGAATGTAATAAAATATGGATTATGCCTTGCACATTACTTGGCACATATTACCTAGTAAACTTTAATTCTTTTCTGTTTCATTAATCTAATGAAAAGAAAATAAAAATAAAAAACACACCTGTATGCTTGCTTCTAGTACCCAGTTTTTTTGTTATGAGAGCCCCAATACTCCTGGGTCAGAATTCTACAGTTGCAAAGCATACATTAAATTTCCTGTAGGTTATACTGATGCTAGGGGGTAAGGGGGATTAGAGGTTTCTCTTTTGAAACATGTTAGCCACTGAACAAAGCTGGAGGAGCCCAGCTGCCCGGACTGCTGGTCCCTCCCCTATATCCTTGACAGGCAGCCCAGTTCACATCTTTGGCAGCCCAACCACTTCCCTTCAGTGCCCCCCCCCCCCCCCCCACGTCTGTTTCGTTCTGTGTGGGCGGCAAACAGTCTTCATGATCCTGATTACCTGGATTAATATTGAAAAACCTCGGCAGGCTGGTGTCCCAGGGAAATTGCAAAAGTTCCCTTTACATTTGAAATGAATGAAAAGGTGGGGCTGAACAAAGGATTCCTCTCTGATAATCATCTCACCTCCTTGTCAGTCAGAGTCCAATTAAATAAACGACCACAGGATCTCTTGTCAATTGCCGGCAGATCCGGCTCTCACCTTTAATCAGCCTGCACATCATGTAGCCATTTAAATTCCCTTTTCACCCTTTTCTTTGTCCACAAATATGATGAGATTAGGAATTGAAAAGAGTAAGCTTAAAAAAGAAAATAAATGTGCGGATTTCTCTAAGCATTCTTTATATTATTTCTAAGTCACCCTTTTTTCTTTCCTCTGCAGAAATAATCAGGTCACTGACAACTTGTCAGGATCACTGAGGACTTCTGAATGCTGTGGGAGGGCTCCATTCAGAAGGATGCTTCTGAGGACTGGTTTTTCTCATTTTCACCGCTATTCCTATCTTTAAAACAGCTTCCATTTCAGCAACGCAAACACACTCTTTAACTGGAAATTGGTTGGGGGAAAATTTCCCAGGTGCTTGAAAACAGGAATGTATTGTCTGTCTTTGAAAGACATAGGCATCTGTCCCCCGCCCCCCGCCCCCTCTGTGGGTATGGTCTGGTAATGAGTGTTTCTATGTTACTCAGATTGGATGAGATAGGATCCCTTTTCTCAAGAAAGTCCTTGATTCAAAGAGGGATGCAAGTCAAGGGCACACCAGAAAGGCAGGCAGAAATGTAAAAAAGAGAGGAAATGAGGATTCAGTAATAGTCACATCAACTGATTGGCACCATGAATGTAAACTTGGACAGAGAGTTCCCTGCAGTCATGCCCTGCATAGAGGCAGCAGGCCCTTTAGGGAGGGAGTCTCCGGTTGTGGAAGTCTTTCCTCGCAGGAGTTTGTCCAGATGCCCAGGCACCTAAGGAGAGAAAAGTGTGCCTATCACCTTTTCTTTATCTTACTTCAGGTCACATGAAAATGGCAGTTTTCAATTAATGTGTGCCAAGACCAAAAGCAATATAACAAAGGAGACTCAAAAACAACTTGTAAGACTTTTATTTGTAGCAATGTGATTTACTGGTATCCTACTAACGCCAAAAAAAATGTTGGTCGGCAAAATTTAAGAAGACATTTTGACTGCATGGCTGGTTGAAAGCTGAAAAGGGAAAATCCCCACAAGAAGCAGCTGTCTTACGGGCATTTGCTGGATTTAGTGGCCAGGTTTTAAATTAGCCCTTGGGGTGGGAAACAAAGACTTGGGCTCTATAAGAGGGAAAACAAACTAAACCAAGATCCTAACATGTAGTGAAAAGAAGAACTCAGAAAAAATATATACTTTCCAGCAAAAGCAGATTATAAGGAAAACTATTTTGGTGGTTCGTGAAAGACAAAAATGCCACCTCAGAATTTGTAACCCTAAGCCTGGCCTTATCTCATTCACTGTTTGAAAAGGAATACTTAAAGATGTTCATGTTCCATCTCCAGCATATAGGACAGTCCCTGGCATGAAGTAAGTGCTCAATACATGTTGATTGAATAGCATGTTGTCAAATGCTAAGCCATTACAAGTCAACTAAACTCAATTGTACTACGGAAGACCAATCCGAAAAATGTAAATCAAAATCAATTGCATTTTCTTACCACATTGTAGGAAATTGAAGAAAATACACTAGAACAGAGAAAAATACTTTTCAGCCTTTAAATCAAAACTCATGTAAATTGAACTGTGATTATTATTACAATTTTAAATGTTATTATCTGAATTAGTTATTCACCCAATTGTAATACATACCATCCTATGGATAGAAAACCTTCTGTCTTACCATACTTGTCGACCAGAATCACTCATTGGCAAATCTTTTATGTGTTTGGGATTAAATGGATAATGCAGTATACATAATGCAAAAAAAATTAAATACAATGGCTGTCTGACTTTGATAAAAGAAATATCCTTACCATTTGCTGTTTGTTTCATGGGTTTTTTTTTTTTGTGTTTTTTTTTTTTTTTTTTTTTTTGTACGAGGATGAGCTCTGGATCAGCATAAAACAAAATAAGTTTAAGGCAAATTTGTGCCAGAAATTCGGTCTGCATTTTTCAGCCAGAAATGATCATACTGCAATCCTACTTGAGATCTAATGTATCTAAAATAAAATAAAAATCAATGAGGAGCCAAAAACACATCTTTTAACTTTTTGTGTTGGTGTGTGGGCAACATATGTAGTTCCAATCCATTTTCGCTGTTGTAGTGATGGTGGGAACAGAAGCCCAGTCAAAAGATATGAAATAGCTGCTGACAAGATGAACTTTGATATGTCAAATATTGCTACAGGATGGAAGCTCAAAGCTGAGAAAATCTTAGGGTGAAGAAGGTCCTCAATAAACACTGAGGATCATCAGCAATTGGCTTCAGCATAAAATATATTGGAAGTAGACACCTTCAGATATTTTACTAATTTGGGTTTAAACATTTATGCTAGTGACAATTTCAATGCACAAAGTCATGCCCACAAACCTCAAGTGCAGGAAAAGGAGAAATAAAGGGGTGACTAAAGTAATCTCAACACAAGATACTAAAAGCAATTAGATTGCCCAAATCAAAATAAACAAATACTAAAACTGGCCATTTGAGCCCATTACCTAGGAGTATAACAAGTAGAGGACAGTATACATGAGCTTTGGTTACCAGAGGACAGAGGTCCCAATCCCTGTGGGTTGGTTCTGGACATGGAATTCTTGCGATATTCCAAGAAAAAGAATTTTCTGAGACTCGCACGGGAAGATGTGATATCCTTCCTACAAATGTTTATTTCTATGGCCTCAAACCACTGAATTTCCAAGGTTTCATTCCCCCCAGTCCTGCCAAGGGAGAAGTCCAGTTTGCTTTTGGCAGGGCTAAAATCAGAGCCAAGATTCAGAATTTCCTTTCCTGTCTGTATAGTCCAGTGGTTGGCAAACTGCGGCTCTTTGGCATCTTGAGTTTTTAGCAAAGGCCAGCTTAGGAGTACCCTAATTAAGTTAATAACAATGTACCTACCTACCTATATAGTTTAAGCTTAAAAAATTTGGCTCTCAAAAGAAATTTCAATCATTGTACAGTTGATATTTGGCTCTGTTGACTAATGAGTTTGCCAACCACTGGCATAGTACAATATAAATTGATTAACTTGTGTTTCCCTGCTACAGCCCACCAGTCCATTGCTTGTAGGGTCCACAGGTCCACATGGCTATGAAGGAAACATGGGCAAATGCCAGGAAGCCAAGGGCAAGCCAAGTGCACAGAAGCAACAAGGGAGAGAATCCCTTTGTGTAGGAGACTGTGTTTCCAAATTTCCATGAGCTTCCATTGACCACACCCACTCTAGCCAGCAATCTTTGTTCCCTGATGTGTCTGACAAGCAAGTACCTTCCCTGTGTCACCCCAACTTTACTGAGCATATGTCTATCTTTCCTTTGTTGGATCCCTTCCCCCAGTGTTTTGTATGGAACAGTCTGGTGGTTCCTTGGGGGAATGCAAAGTTTTAACTTCCTGGTGAAAGCTGCTCAAATGACATGCCTATGATTCCTGCACCCCCCTTGCTCCTTTTCTATTATTAACAACTAGCTAAATACAACAGTATCACTCATAATTATTTTAAAAAATAGTGATTCTATTATAAATATATTGGGGAAACAGGAACTTGGAGCAAGCATTAGGGAGGTTACTTGTTTGGGGGAGGGCATCTGCACTGGCCTGAGATTCCCTGAGGACCATTTCTGTATTGAAGTCTCATCACTAGCAAAAGCTAAGAAATGGTATCTTAACTTTTCCTGAGGATCCAGAATAAGCATATGCACTATTTCTTACTTCTTGATTCTGAAGATATGGATTTTCTTTTCTTTCCCCAAATAAATATAGCAAACAGAATCCAAATACTTTTCATATCCTCTCATCACTGTCCAATTGTAATGACTAAAGACACACTAAGTTTTCAATTATTAACAATCTGGCTAGCACTTCATAACAAAGTCTACTTGCTAATTCAGATGAAATGTGTTTTGTCATCAGCAAATCGAAACAATATTGTCTATGCATGCTACAGTATTTGTTTTCTCTTTTTATATCCTAGAATGAACATATCGTTAGTTTAGCGCCATTTGGCCATCATATCCTCTCTAGGTTTCAGAGCAATTTCAAAGGAATCAGATATTCTGATACAATGCATTAAATATGTTGAGCTTCACTCATTAATTTTGGAAATTAAATGGTCACGATTATTAATGTAAGCTTTCACCGCTCTCCAAGCTTTCAAAACAGAATTAGGGGAAAATGGCATTACACAAATCCACTTTGGGAAAATGTAACTAAGCCAGTGTTCTTTGGGTGGGGAAGGATTCTTCAAGGGAACAGTGAATTGTTTCTGTTCTATATGCATGGGTTGGAGAGAAGTAGCTCATCAAAATGGCAGGGGGGAAAATAGCAGGGTAACTGTTATACAACTTCAATTTAGAATTTTTGAATTATTTTTGCTCAGCTTATTGATCATGGTGGTGCATCAGGAAAAAAGTCACAAAAATCAATATTGGAAGGTTTTAGAAGACACACAGCACGAAGTCCTAATTTGCTGCCTTAATGCCTAACTACTCAGAGCTGGGAAAGAGGTTAATCAATATGGATTTAGATGTATTTCAGGTTGGGATACCTTCTTTAGAGGATATGGAGATGGCTAGATAATTGGTCTCCGTGTCACCTCTTCTTTTTTTTCTTTTTTAATATATTTTATTGATTTTTCACAGAGAGGAAGAGAGAGGGATAGAGAGTTAGAAATATCGATGAGAGAGAATCATTGACCAGCTGCCTCTTGCACACTCCCCACTGGGGATGTGCCCGCAACCAAGGTACATGCCCTTGACTGGAATCGAACCCAGTACCTTTTAGTCCGCAGGCCGACGCTCTATCCACTGAGCCAAACCGGTTCCGGCTCCGTGTCACCTCTTGACCAAAGTAAATCTGTTTTCTCTTTACAACAATGAATCTAGAAAGAAAAAACAACAACAACAACAAAAACAAAAACAGAGGATACCCTAGGTTTCGTCTTAGAATCCTTATATGTTGACAAAGCATGAAAAAGGAGTATTCTGAGAGAGGTGAGAAAAAGTCAGTAGTGAAAAAGTTTCAGATGAATTATAAACTCTTTCTTACTCTCTTTATATGCACAATCTTTCATGGCCAAAACCATAACATTGAAAATCAGGCTCTTTCATTTATGACACTTTCTATAAAAAGAGTTCATTGGCCTTACCTGGGCAAAGAATTACTAGTATAATGATAGACAGTAGCCAGCAGTGACTTAAGCAATTTCCTCTTGCATGCTCTCTGTCGTCTCGTACCCTAACCATTTGTCTTAGAGTCACTTATTCCTTCAAGCAATGAGACTGCCATTTTCTGGTGGCCTTCAAAGTAGTTATGTGATGATCATTAATATAGTCATTTTCTTTGCTATACAGATTCCTCTATTATTATTTACATCATTAAAATATGCTTGTCTTAGGTCTAAGGAATCAATTCAGATTTGGTCAACAAAACTGAGAAATGTCTGTGTATTAGCAGTTTTATCATTTTTTTTCTTTTAATGTTCATAACAACCTTTTAGTGAGATAAAAAAATTACTTAATTCATTTCTAAAATCAGCATATCAGGCAAATACTGTATATACTCAAAACTATGTGATAAAAATAGTTTGAATTGCTCATAACATATAAAAAACATGATTTTGTGATTA